CTGTCTTTATCGAGCCGGTCCCCAAGAGAGCATCCTGAACTTCTCTTCGGTTTAGGGTTTAGGGTTTAGGGTTTAGGGTTTAGGGTTTAGGGTTTAGAGTTTAGGGTTTAGGGTTTAGGGTTTAGGGGTGTTCGGAGTTGCGGGGCCTGGGTTCAAAGGGTTTGGAGGGCTTGGGCTTCCGTCTTGTAAGTCGCCTCGTGGGTCTTCAAACGGAAAGCCTAAGGTAGAGGCCTTAATAATCAGAATATGGTTTTGGGGGTTCCTCATTCTAGTATGATGTTAATATACCCCCCCCACCATAATAATTAGAATATGGTCTTGGGGGTTCCTTATTCTAGTATAATATACCCCCACACCCTATTCTAATCATTCCTTCATTAACCGACTGCTCGGCCTATGCATAAAGCCATCTTAAGCCCTAAACAAGCCTTGAGCTCTGGAGCCTTTGCTGCGAGTGACTGAAGAATGCAAGCTCCACAGAGCCACATTGCACAAGGCTTCTGAACATCGAGGTCCCTCTTTAGGGTTTACGGTTCAGGATTTTGGGCCGTTTCTGGGGTCCCGGACACCGTTGATCCCAGAAGAAAACAGCGCATGCACTTAAGAAGACAAGGCGCAGATGCGAATCTCCGGCATAAATCCCTGAACCTCCAAACTCCCATAATGCATACCCCTAAATCCTTGATCTTCAAACTCTAAGGTACCATAAAGGCCTAATAATTATCATAAGCAGAGTCTAAGAAACACCAAAACACTGTTCTAATTATAAAGGCCCCTACAGTAGCCTTCATAACACCCATAAGGAACCGGTCCGGCTCTCTCGCATGCTTGATTGGTTGCACAAGCTCAGTGGGGTCGTTGTTCGTTTTTCTTTTTTGGAGACAGTGGTTGACTCATAGGAGAAGAGACTCTGATGCGTGGACCAAGGGTGACGCACTCCGAATAACATAGGATTCGGTTTCTCGATTTTTCTCGATTTTTCGGATTTTCGGAGCCATAAACCTAAACCCCTGAAACCTAAACTGTTCTCCGAGCTTTTCCGCCAGCCTTCGCCGCAGGTTTATCACCAGCCCCCACGAGGGACCCGAGGGGACACGCCCCCTGGCCTTATCATCGTCATTCTGATTATCAAAATTGATATAGCTGCTATTGGTTAGTATTATTCTCATTACTGTTATGCTTATTATGATTGTTTGTTGTTGGTATTGTTATCATTTGCCATTATCATTATTCAGCTTTTTGTTTCTGGATTTTTCTTTGCTGTTTAGCTGGTTCTCGTGTTTGAATGATGTAGAAGTTCCACAGATTCCACAGAGGCCATAGAGCGCGCCCTAAACCGTGGTCGGGTTCCAAAAGACGGCATCCTGAATTTCGGGGTTGTGGATTCGAGAGATATTCTTATATTAGGGTTTGGGGCCTAGAGCCGCGGTGGTATGGACGATTCCTGAAACGATCTTTCAGGCTCGTTGCCCGCGCGTGATGTCATAAGTCTTCGGAATAGCTCATTATTTTGCATCTTCACGAGAGAACAACCTAAATCCTTGATCTTTAAACTCTAAGGTACCATAGGAGCCTTAATAATTATCAATTATAAGCAAAGTCGAATATGCCCAGGCTATGAGGGGACCCCTCACTCTGCCTTCCGCTTCATTCGGACGCTTGGCTGCGCCGGGGGCCGGTTCTGCCAAGCAGTCACATCTGCTTGCGCATGGGTAATATTAGCTTCGCACTTGTTAAGCAGTCATGGGTGTTCCTGCAGCTTCAAAAGGGGCTTGCAAAGCTTCGCCCTTTGCATCGAAGGCCGTAAGACCAATTCCTACAGATTGGAGTCTCCGCAGTTCCTATAAACCCATGCCAAGAGTGCTGCGACTGCGACTTGAAAGGAAGGACGGTGTCAATGCAGACCGACCTCGCCAAAGCTACGAGTTCCGCTGCATCCTCATTGACCCCAACTGGACGACCTCCAACGCCAAGATCATGGGTCTCGCTGTTGAGCCGAGCGACGAGAAGGCTCATGGCGTGTGCAAGAGCCGTCGGAGACATTCTGCTTGTCCAGTCTAGATATATACACGCATAGATCTGCACATTTACAAAACATACATACATATATATATATACACCTATATGTATATACATATATATATATATATCGATGTATATCTGCATCTATGTATGTATGCATGCATGCATGCATGTATGTATGTATGTGTATACACACAAGAGTAAAACACGTATGTATGTTCCTAACTATCTATATGATACATATGCACAGATATCTGTTTTGTACTTATGTACGTACGATGTTGTAGGCATTACATATATATATATACACATGTATAGACAAAGTATTTGTCCTGCAAGCATGTTGTTCGCGGTCATTTCTGCATGCATGTAAGTATGTAGGTATGTATGTACGTATGTATGTATGCATGCTTGTACATCTGCGCGAGTTCGTGTATGTGTACCTGTCGGCTGGACTGTCCTCCTGCCCGTCTTTCCGTCTCGAATGTGGACGTGTGTGTTCGTGTTTACTATATGTATAGATATTTGAATCTGTACGTATGCATGCATGCTTGCATGCATGCATGCATGCATGCATGTATCTATGTATGTCTGTCTGTCTGTCTGTCTGTCTGTCTGTCTGTCTGTATGTATGTATGTATGTATGTATGTATGTATGTATGTATGAGTGTGGGCATGCATGCATATGTGCATATGTATGTAACTAAGTAACCAATAATACATCATTGAATGTGTGTATGTATGTATGTATGTATGTATGTATGTATGTATGTATTTATGTATGTATGTACGTATGCATGTATGTATCTATGTATGTATGCATGCATGGATGCATGCATGCCTGTATGCATACATGTATGTATGTATGTATGTATGTATGTATGTATGTATGTATGTATGTACGCATGCATGGATGTTTGTGTGTATGTCGGTATGTGCGTAGGTATGTAGGGAGGCATTCACGCATGTATGTAGTTTCTTTCTGCCTGCCTGTTTGCTCGTTCGTCTGTCCGTCGATCTCCGTGTCTGTATGTATGTATGTATGTATGTATTCATTTACGTATGTGTGTGTGTGTATGCATGCGCGCAGGAGCATGCGTATACGTGTGTGTGTGTGTGTGTGTGTTTACAGAATGCAGCAGCACACATACAAACAGACACACATGCATTGACTGATCTGTCTATCCGCATCCTGAGGCCAGAAGTGCTTGGAAGACAGTCATGTCATGTCCCTTTGAGACAACCCTCGAGTTGTCATGACGCTAAACCTCGAACCTTGTCTATGTAACCTGCTGCACGTTGGCATCACTATGAGGGTCCACGAACAGGGCAACAGCTGCTACACTCCGAAACAGGATCCACGAAAAGGGCAACAGCTGGTCCAAGCGACTCACAACTCGCAGCCCTTGTCCTCACCTCTGTACACTCTATACCCTAAGCTCCCAAGCACGAACAGACCCCAAACCTGAACCCCAAACCCCTAAACACCTTAAGCCTAGAAGCCCTGAGCTCTCAACCCCCCTCCCCGATCCCCTCCCAGAACTGCAGGAGATCGTAAACGCAGCGGCGGGTGAAATCATGGCCGGGATCATGGCCAGCCATGAGGAGACTCCGAGTTGTCTTTCGGTTATTGGTTTGGCTTTTAGCCTTGATTGAAAACCAGTTCGTTTGATTTTTTTTGTTGTGAGTGTGTGTGTGTGTGAGTGTTGTTTTTGTTTTGGGTGATGGTGACGATCATGATACTGATGATGATGATGATGATGACGATGATGATGACGATGATGATAGCGATGATGCTGCTGATGATGCTTCCTGCTAACATTGCGGCTCTGGTGGTGTGTCTTTTTGCTTGTAAGGTTTGGAATTAATGCTTCGGAGCTTGAGGTTTTGGGTTTAGGGTGTTTCGATCGTTGTCTTTAGAGAAAACCCTGTTTACAGCTTCAGGACCTGCGCGTTATTCTTGCTTTCCACTTGTCATCATCTGCTGAGTAGTTTATGGTTTAATCTAGGGGGCCTAAATGGAATGACTACAGCAGCCGCCGCTCGCCGCCACGCCTTTCTCGGACAGCGGGGCGCTTTTTGATACAGGGGCCTAAATGAATACCTATACTAGTTTGGGGGGTTCCCTATTATAGTTATAGTACAATGGGCCCCAAATCTTCTAATTATTATAAGGCCCCTGTATTATGTTCCTTTATCGTATCTTGTTCAGAAGTTTTCGGCTCGCTGCTTCTTATGGCCGCTTGAAGGCTATTAGTTTTGGGGCTACGGAGTTAGGCTTTCACGGTTCCGAGTCTAGTGATTGAAGTGTGGTATGGGGTGAGGGGTTGGGGGGCCGCGGCGTGCGGATGGTTTCATGGTCTTGGGGCAGCTTGAGTCTTGAAGTGTCTGTAGTACGGATTGGGTGAAATGCTCTCTTCACAACAAGAAATCAGCAGACCCTTCTTCATAATGGCTCATTATCCAGGACTGACGGCGTTTCTAAATCTCCAAATTCTACCTAGTTTAAGGGCACGTTCCGGAGTGACTTCAGGCCGTGATGGATGCCCTGGTGGACACGGAAGACTTCCAGGAACAGGTGGACAAGGCGGAGGCACTCTTCGACAGCTGAATGCCACGGCCGAGCACGGGCCGAGCACCAATGCTTCCCATGCCGGACGGATGCGTTGGCCAGGCTTGCAGCAAAAAAAGAGCGGTTCATGCTGCCAACATACCAGCCGTGCTTTTGCATGTGCTGCAGTGCTGTGATCTCGACTGTCTGCGCATCATAGCAGCCGCTAAAGCTCCGAAACCTGTACTGGCACTTTTTTTACCACCGTGGCATATTCGTATTGGAGTCCACATGGTGTCATGACAATGCTTGTCAGGAGCACGCATCTGATATGCTCCTGCGGTGCTCGGCCCAGTCGTTCGGATGGTGGGCGGTTCAGCCCGGCGTCGTGCTTGAACGGATGCTTGAAGAAATCCTGGCAGTCTGTCTCGAAAGGCAATGTGTCTCCCTGTAGGTTTCACAAAAGCCTTGTCTACCTGCCCGGCTTGATCTGCTGGACCGGATCGGGACGATGGGTAAACAGCTTCCGCTGCCGTTGCTTCTATGGCTGCTACTACTACTACCACCACTACTACTGTTGATACGAAAAA